GACTGTCTTACTATCTTTAAAATTCTGAAAGGTAGCTCAGAGAGCATGGTTTGGCTTCACAATTTTCTGTGGCATGATTACAGTTGTTTGAAAGTCCCCTGGTATGTACATAGGACAGATGAACTGCCGCACATTTTCACATCCTATTTTAAACATTTAAAAAAATGGAAGATAATAAATTATCAATTAAAATGGTCTTAAGCTATGCCAGAGGAGGTTTAGGTTAAATATTAGGAAGAAATTTTTTACAGAGAGAGTAATGAGACATTGGAATAGGCTGCCCAGGGAGGTAGTGGATTCACTGCCCCTGGAGGTTTTTAAGATTAGACTGGATGTGGCACTTAGTGCCATAGTCTAGTAACCATGGCAGTGTTGGATCAAGGGGTTGCACTTGATGATCTAGAAGGTCTTTTCCAACCCAGTTGATTCTGTGATTCTGTAACTACAATACACAACTGAAATACTCCAAAACAGATTTGGTAGAGTCAGGGCTACTTTTTATATAGGGTATTAAGTAGATCCCCCTAGGTGTGTTGAGAGATTGACAATGTCTAGTCTTTAAAAAGACATGGATTAACTCAGCTATTCTCTCAAGTGCCTAATGGTTTGGCAGACTGATGATGCTCAGACATAAGGTAATTGCCTCTTTCTCTATCTCTTTTTTTTTTTTTTTTTTTTTTTAATGCATAACATGTACCAGTAATAATCTATCCTTTTCTCCCAGACTTAATGTTACCAGGTACAAGGCCGGAAGGGACCTTTAAAGGTCATTTAGTCCCCTGCCATTTGCAAAAATCTTTTTCATTAGATTAGGTTCCTCAAAGCCCCATCCAACCTGGCCTTGAATACTTCCAAGGATGGGGCATCCCCAGCTACTCTGGGGAAAGGTGGGAAAACCCACCCTTTTCAGCTTAAACCTATTGTTCCTTGTCCTGTCAGTACAGGCCCTGCTAAAAGGACCTCTATCTTTCTTATTAGTCCCCCTTATATATTGAAAGGCTGCCATAAGGTGTTCCCAGAGCCTTCTCTTCTACAGGCTGATCAACTCCAACTCTCTCAGACTGTCTTCATAGGAGAGATGTTCCATCCCATTGACTGTTTTTATGGCCCTCCTCCAAACCTGCTCTAACAGGTCCATGTCTTTCTTGTATTGTGGGCAACAGAGCTGGACATAGTGATCCAGGTGATGTCTCAGAAGAGTTTAGTACAGGGGGAGAATCACTCTCCTCTTTCTGCTGCTCACGCTTCCTTTTATGCAGCCCAGGATATAATTGGCTTTTGGGGCTGTAAGCGCACGTTGCTGGCTTATGTTTAATTTTTGTTCACCCGTACCACAAGTCCTCTGTAGGGCTGCTCTCAATCCATTCATCCATTTGTCTGTACTGATATTGAGGATTGCTCTGACCAAGGGGCAGGACCCTGTACTTGACCTTATTGAACTTCATGAGGTTCACATGGGTTAAATGGTGTCCAGGTCCCTCTGGACGACATCTGTTTCTTCCAGTTAATCAAGTGCATCAGTGAGCTTGGTGTCATCTGCAAACTTGTTGAGAGTGTATTCAGTCTTACTGTCTAGTAAAGTGGGTGGCTCAATGTTATATTGGAAATCAGATATTAAATACTATTGATCCCAGTACCACCTGTTACTGATTTCCAATATGACACTGAGCCACCCACTTCATTCTCTGGGTAAAGCTATCCAGCCACTTCCTTATCCATCTAACCCACTCCTCCAATTTAGTAGGCAGAATGTTGTGGGGGACCACATCACAAGCCTTACAGAAGTCTAGATAGATTAGATCCATAGTTCTCCCCCTCTCTACTGATGTAGTCACTCCATTGTAGAAGGTCACTAGATTAGTCAGGTGACTAATAATCCATAGTAGAATATGGAATGTGCACTCAGCATATCAACATAGCTGTAATCCCTCTATAGAAGAAATGGGGAGAAACTTAGCCTCCAGGTGGAGCCCTATCCAGGTGAAGTGCTTTGCTTCTTTCCAGAACCCTTAAAAACTTGCATCGGTATTACCTCTCAGGCACTTAAATGCTAAAACCCACCACATTTACATCATAGTTGTTACCCTGGATAATCCTTGTTCCTACTGGAATCCTCATTCTCTGTTTCAGATTAGTGCTGTTAAGCAGTCCTTTTGTCATAATTGTTTTCACCAAAAAATGACTTAATTATTATCTTTTGAAAAGATATCTTTGAAAAGACTTATTCCCACTCTCAGAACAGATGTTTCACCTCCTGCATCAATTGCTCATTTATTGGCTTATGTCTTAAGTTTACAATCAAAAATCAATGTGTTATTTCTGAATCTATATTAAGATTAACCACTTTCATGATATTAGACTTTAATTTCCTGTCCTCTTTGTCCACCACAACTACTGAACCCCATGTAGTTTGAACTATATTCCAGTGCCTGAGAAGACACAGTCACCTTTTTCCCTCATCCACTTCTAAACTTCCCTGACATTCTTGAAAGTTCAAGGAGACACTTTCAGTTGTGGTGTTCCAGCTGTCTGAAACTTATTTCCTCTTCTCCCTAAGCCACTGAATCATTTCTTTAAACCTCACCTTAAAATCTCCCTGTTCTCTTTAACCTATAATTCACTTCCACTGGAAAATATTTTTGTGATATCCTTTATGAAGCATGTACAATAAAAAGGAAATTTTCTGTAGTCTTGTTGAAGCAAGCTAGACTTGAGGTACTAATGTGACTGGATTAAGGGTTCTGTAGAGTCACTCGAGATAGATTGACCCTTGCAGAATCTATTGAACTCTGAGTATTTACACACACTCTCCTGAAAACCTCATAGCTACACCCTTGCAGGCTTATAGGTTATTGCCTTTCTTGTTGCCTTTGAACTCATAACTTTATTCCTGATATCAGATGGCACCACTGATTTATTCTGGGCCCAACACAACTAAATAAAAGGGTGCAGTTCCCTTCTCTCTCCCTTCAATGACCAAAGAGAACAGCAATAAAAATGAAAAAAAAATTAAAGCACTCCTCTGTTTATCCAACTAAATAAAGGATAAAAATTTCATCAGTGTTTTTTTATCTAAGCAGTCTGTGATAAATGGCAGACTCAAGTGTCTATTATAAACTCTGAGCAAGAAAAACAATTTGATCTTAGATTGGTTCTATCCAATTCACCAAAAGGATGCAGAGAGGCAAACGCACAAAGCCAGATGGGTTACACAGTGAAGGTGAGTTCTGGGAAAGATTTATACGAAAATTAATAGAACAGTGTTGCACAAACCACATCATCCAGAAACTTACGCAAATGATCTCAATTTATAAGGCTGGTATTCCTCCTCATTCACAATGCACTTATCATAGTAGTAGGCCATTTAAATCTAACTTGTTTAGTTCAACTATGCATTTTATATTCATGATCAGTTTTATGCCACAGAATAGTCTTGGAATGGAACATTTAACCCTTTTTCTTTAACTGATATTTGAATTTTGGATATTTATTTTCAAGCTTTTTGTACTCGTCAAAGTACCAGAAATGGAAGAAAACTCTAGTTCACATTCACATGACTCCAGTGTTGTAACTTGAAGGAAACATGAAATATTTAAGGCTTGCAATATATTTTTCAATATTGATGGTAAATTTTTTGGAATACATTAAATTTTGTGCATGCATAAAGACATTGCACATGTGGACACACTTTTTCTGCATATAGATCACAGAGATAGAAACACAGACAAAAATATTAATGTACTTCTCTTAGCATCAAAGTAATGCAATATGGATGGTAGCAGAGAATACAAGTGAAATCTTTCTATATTCTGAGTAACTGCTGGTATATGAGGGAACAGATAAGAAGAAACAGACTTTGCAGAAGTAGGTGCAGATTCAGTGGAGTTACTGGAGACAAGGGGTAATGGCTTTAAACTGAAAGAGAATAGGTTCAGATTAGATACTAGGAAAAATTCTTTACTGTAGTCTGGTGAGAACCTGAAACATGTTGCCCAAAGAAGTGGTGGATGCTTCATTCCTGGAAGTGTTTAAGACCAGGTTGGATGGGGCTTAGAGCAACTTGCTCTAGTGGCAGGCGTCCCTGCTGGGCTGGAACCAGACAATCTTTAAGCTCCCTTTCAACCCAAATCATTCTACTGTTCTAAGATTTCCTAATTTTCATCTGACATGAAAATATGGTTGTGTATGGGAAAATCTTTTCAACTCTTGTCTGTCTCTGAAATGTATACAACCTTTAAGTGAATTAATAGTTGATTTTGACAGTAATATTGTTATATAAATCTATTTCTAATAGAAGGTGTTCTGAATGATGGCTTTATTCTTTCTTTATAGAACTACAAATGGCAAAACCCCCACAAAGTCAGAGAATGAAATGAGGATTAAATTAATACTGCATTGTGCCCGAGTACAGCCATACTAAGTCTTTGTATGAGAGGTAGCTGAATAAGGAAAGAAATGGATAAAAAAATATTAATTAAGGTCCAAATTCTTACTTTCATATTGGAGACCTCAGTTCATTATTTCTTACCGTACCATCGCATTTCATTTTCAGGTTGGACTATAACTTCTAGGAGGCATATAGATAACAGATAGGCACTCTAGCAACAATGGTTAATAACAATAATGAGTAACTATAATAAATCATGGCTCTGTTGAGGAGGTCCAATGTATATAGGAAAGTTATGGCTAGCATTTACTCTAGCTCTAAATTCCTCTAATAGTGAGGATGTTGTAATTTCTTAAACTGACTCTACTTCTTGAAAGTTTGTATTGTCATGCAGTTAAGGATCATATTGACTTTCAGCTTTTGTAGGTAGTTACCAGTTGTGTTGCACGTGTCCCAAAAGCATAATAAGTTAATATAAAATGTTACAGAAGAAAATTAATCCAAGATGAGATTTCTATTTGCTTTATGAGCAATACAATTTGGAGCGCTGTTTTGTTTGTTTGTTTGTTTTATACATGCACATCAGAATAAGCAAATGAAATTCAGTACTTACTCCTGTTATGTAACGAGGTCTATACTGGATGGTTCCAAATAAGCCAAGTATGACTACAATAATATGTATAAAATTTGCCAGGATAGGTGCCCACTGATAACCAAGGAAGTCAAATATCTGCCTCTCGAGCACAGAAACCTATGATTAAAAATAAAAGCATAAATAGATTAGAACAAACCAGAAAACTACGAATATGAGTGTATTTCCCCTTCCCATACTCAAGATAATTACCCTGAGCTAAAAAATAGTTGTTAGCCATAAAATGAAATGAGTTTGCAATGTTTCACCTTCTTGTTTTAATGAAAGCTGCATTTCTCACTGTTTATGAAGTTATATTCAGTTAGCTAAAATATTCTCATGGGTAATTCTACCAAGGTACTATACTGTTCACTAGGATGATATGTTTGCAGGAGGAGAAACACAAATCACTTTGTTATATACAACAGCAAATGCTATAATGTTCTAGGGTATCGGTGCTGAAAATAAGTGACAGGCTTATGACATCTCAGCTACATTGTTTCCACTTACAACACCATCCTCTAGCCTAGTCCTATCTCTTCCTTACATTTTGATTTTTTCCTCTTCCCGCTATCCCAGCTATTCTGTCAGTAACCAAATGAACACAACTTTTTGACCTGGTTCTCCTGATAATGACTCTAGTTTACCTCCTTCCACTGTCACAAACATCAGCTGAAGTATAAGCTGCTCCCCAAGATTCTAGATAAATAATTTCAAAAAATTACTTAAGGGACAATCTCGGGCTGATGATTACTGTTTTCAAGCAATACCATTACAAACAGATAGATCAGACACTAGACAAACTGTCTTTCTAACAGTATCAGTAGTAATAATTTCAGAATTCCACTAGTAGATTTCCCTTAACTGATGTTTGGACATTATGTCAAAATACAGTACTCTAGCCCAACCTATAGGCAGAATGGCACGTTTTGACAAAAATAATATTTATGCTAATATTAGAAGGCAATTTAGTGGTAAATTTAGATAGAAAGACTAAGGAGTTTCTCTGATACCATTCCAAAAATTTCACTAACTGGAATGGTGAATAGATGAGCTTCATGAAAATGTGAAGAATAATAGAAATAAAAGAAAGAGAATAATACTGATAGTTATTAACAATAATAACTAAAATAACAACAATGCGAACACCGCACCAAAAAAAAAAAAGAGTGAGCAGGTTGTTTCTTGATTAAGTTTCATTAAATGACAGCTGATTGTTTACTGAGTTTATGGTACACTGTGGATTAACTGAATTAGTTTATGTGTCACAACTTCATTCATTTAAAAAATATAATCTTTTGAGATCAAGTAGTAAATGAGTAGTAAAGGAGAACTGTTCACCACTGTTCTTGCAACAATATAGTTATGGGAGAATTTTTCAATTTTCATGCCACAGTCCACTACCACAGCAACATTTTCATCTCAAAATTAAGAAAACTTTCTATTAAAAAGACAGCCTACATTTACATTAGCATTGTAAATGTAAAGACTGTTAATTATATAGTATGTACTGGCATATGCTGAACTTTAAAGAAAGACTGTCAAAATAATCCTGGGGAAGTTTGTCAGCCATGTAATTTCAAATTTGAGTGTTCAGGTTTCATGTTAAACACTGAATTTCTTTCCACAACAAAGACCCCTTTCACACAATGCATTCCACTTATAACCAGTCTTGGTATTTTACCTACCATTTTATTTTACATATTTACTGACAGAAAGAGATTCTGTTCCTACCTCATCGAAAATCTTTATGAACTGATTTTTGCTATCCTACCACTCTCCGCAGCAGAGGAACATCATAGAAGATTTCCCAGAATCCCAAGACATGTCTAACAGTGACAATGTGATGAAGAAATAAAAGGAAGATCAAGCTGTATTAGAAACTTCATGAAAACTCAAACTGCCAGTGTTTCTAAGTTTATCATTAAGAAATATTTCCTTGACTACAGATATATATATATAAAAAAGGCCAACATGTGGCATAAAGCAGTATTATGTAGGTCAGTGTGAAGTCTGTTAAGCATGTTAGTAAAAGACCTGTTATACCATAAGTGCTGTTAAACAGGTAACAAAGGGAAAATGTTCACTCTAAGCACAGAGCTCTTATTTTCATCAGCTAAACAAAGAGGAAATGAGAATAGTAAAGCAGTAGCAAAAAGAGTCTAGACTGTACAAGCTTCTAGTGTAATAACAGTAGAGATTCAGCAAGAAAAAAACAATACACGGGAAGATGCAAATCATTAAAACAGCAGGAGATCATACAGTTAAGTATCCCAATTATAGAGGAAAATTGCAGCATGCTAGTTGATTATATGAAAAGTAGAAAAACTCATATCCCTGCTACAACTGTTAAAAGGTTAAAAGGAAACTGCAGTATCATGTATCAACGTTTTGTTTTGGTTCGTTTTGCTTGGTGAAAGGTGAAAGATGCAGTTCCACCAAAACTTGCTTATGGGATAAATTATGCTTATTGGATAAATGGATATTCTGTAAGAATCTTTTATTTCTACAAATCAATGTGCCTTTTTTTTTTTTGGTGACTAGTAATTTTTTTAGTAATTTTTTTTTTAGATTTTCCCATTTCACTCCAAAGAATCAGTTGTGTGTGGGACTGCTGGATACGTGAAATGGCAGCATTCTGGTAGGCTGTCCAGAGATGAAATGCTGTGGAAATGCAGCTGCTCTTCTGTAGAAGATTAGACTACTGCAGCAAGATACATTGTGGATTTATCAAATGGAAAATATAGGACAGATCTTTATTCCCACTTCCTGAAGAGATAAAGGTGTGAAGAAAATAAAACCAATAAAACCAATGCACAAACAAACATAAAAATAGTACAAACTTTCTACATGAGTTACTTAAAAAAAATTCATTTGGTCTGTGTTTCTAAAAGGGGAAAAGTGAAAAGTAGGAAAAAGTAGTGACAAAAGTTATTAAAAACAGTATTATGTAGCTTCCTCCTCTTCCATAGATGTCAGAATCATAAGGGATTTCCTTACATAGCAAGAGAAAATATAGACCTGATTTTGAAAGCTCTGCATTCCTTTACTTCAAAAACTTAAAATTTTTGGTTAAAAAAACTTCAATTCCTTTTTAAAATCATACCCACCAGCTTCGAATGTTTAATGATGTTTCAATGACACCACAGAGAGAAAGGAAAGAAGTAACAAAGTAATACTAATCTTTAAAGTCAAGGAATAGATATAGAATTGTCTGTTTTCTTTCTTCTTCCTCAGGTTGTCCGTATTGGTATCTCTATCACTGATGTGGACAATGGGATTTCCTACACCGTCACCAAGTCTGCTGATGACACCAAGCTGTGTGGTGCGGTTGACACAATGGAGGGAAGGGATGTCATCCAGAGGGACCTTGACAGGCTTGAGAGGTGGGTCTCTGCAAACCTCAGAAAGTTCAACAAGGCCAAGTGCAAGGTGCTGCACCTGGACTGGGGCAATCCCAAGCAGAAATACAGGCTGGGCAGAGAATGGATTGAGAGCAGCCCTGGGTAAATGGACTTGGGAGTGTTTGTGGACAAGAAGCTCAACATGACCTGGCAATGCGCACTTGCAGCCCAGAAAGCCAACTGTATCCTGGGTTGTATCAAAAGAAGCATGATCAGCTGGTAGGTCAAGGGAGGTAATTCCTCCCCTCTACTCTGCTCTTGTGAGATCCCAACTGGAATACTGCATCTGGCTCTGTGGTCCTCAGCACAAGAAAGATATTGAAGGCCACTAAGTCGATCAGAGGGCTGGAGCACCTCTCCTGTGAAGACAGGTTGAGAGAGTTGAGGCTGTTCTGCCTGGAGAAAAGAAGGCTTCAGGGATACCTTACAGCAGCCTTCCAGTACCTAAAGAGGGCTTACAAGAAGCCTAGTGAGGGACTTTTTGAAAGGGCATGTAATGACAGGACAAGGGGAAATGGTCTTAAGCTGAAGGTTGGTAGGTTTAGATTATACATTAGGAAGAAATTCTTTACTGTGAGGGTGGTGAGGCACTGGAATAGACTGCCCAAAGAGGTTGTGGACCATCCATCCCCACAGGTCTTCAAGGCTGGGTTGGACGAGGCTCTGAGCAACCAGGCCTAGTGTAAGGTGTCCCACCCTGATAGCAGTGTTGGAACTAGATAATCTTCAAGGTCCCTTCCAACCCAAACTACTCTATGATTCCATGATTCTTTTGGAAACAAGAGTTTAAAATAAGAATGGGAAAGAGGAAAAATGGGTCCTTTGGATGAAAAAGTATAGTATGGTTAGAAAAGAAAAATATGTTTTAATTCAACTCCATTTTAATAATGCGGTGAACCCAAAATGTAAGGTTATAGACAGTCAGTTCCTAATGTTAGAAAATAAACACACAAAACATTGTCTTCTTAGGCTCCCAAATAAATAAAATATCATAGATTATTTTATGTATTCACTGATAAAATTATAGAATAGCCTATTTAAAGGGAACCATTTTACTAATGCATTATTTTTTCCCAAACTTCCGCTAACTGTTTTAAAAACAAATACAAAATAAAAGCAACTCATATACTGTCAAGTTGGAATAGCTGAAACTATTTCCAAATTCTTGTCAGAGGTTGGTTGTTAATAGCTTAACAGTGTTACTGACTTTGAGGGATCTAAGAATTGAATTTCCAGTGGAAAATGAAAACCATTTGGAGATGATTCTTTAAGTATATGATTGGACTAGAATTCTAGACAGGAACTACAAAGGAGAAACCAGTCAAAAGATGATTTATAATACAAACTCTGAAATGGAAAATGATTAAGTGTCTTTGCTCAGAAAGCTCCTTGAGAAAAACTCAACCATGATACAGAATCTAAACTCTGCACTGATATAAATTACAGTGCACATGGGCGTACACACACAAGTGAGTCTGTACAGCTCCAGCCAGCCATGGCCCTTGGGCAGCAAACATTGCACAGAGGCACTCAGCATGCTGGGGCTTGGGGCAGGGTCCCACTGAACTGATGGACTCACAGCTGAGTGATGGTAACAGGCTCTCAGTTCACTCTAAAGGAAGAAAAGAGTATTATCTTAAATTGCATTGCAGGAGAATTAAACAACTGTGGTTTATATCATTGACTGGTGCAGGCTAAGAATGAGATAAAGAAATT